CTTTTAAGGTCCCAGTCGCTACTCGCCAAAGTAGTAGGTGGAACAATGTTTTGTATAGTATGTTATGCCAATTGAGCTTGATGTCCCCTGCGTCTGTGTCAATTCTTATACCACTTGTCAGACAAGCCAGCTCAAAGTCAGAGTATTTCTTTTGATGACTTATAATTTCCTTCACTGGCTTTTTTCTCTACAGAACTGGACTGGAAGCCATCATGGAGACTTACGCATTTTGGAGACCCCCTGTGCGCACACTCACCTTTGAGGATTTCACTACCATGCAAAAGCAGCAAGGTATCCCCTGGAGTAAGGTGTCTGCTTAATGATAGGGCTGGGGTGGGAGTGGGAGCAGATTTGAATACAGTGTATCTAGCCCCAAGCCAAGTCATGGGTTACACAGACTTTTCTGGAACAAGAAAACTTGGTAGCTCCATAAATAACCAAATCATCACAACTTGGGCAAACAAGCCAATTCCAGAGGCAGCATTTCACCTAGTAGTATTTTCCTTCCTGAAAGCAAAGATACATGTTTGTGATTATGATGGTGATTAAATTATTAACGCTATCACTAAGGATTCATATAAAAACCAAACCAAACCCACTGCCATCAAGTCAATTCTGGCTCATAGTGACCCCTGTCAGGTTTCCAAGGCTGTGCAACTTTGTGGAGATAGATTGCCTCATCTCCCTTCCGTGGAGCATCTGGTGGATTTGAACCACCAACCTTCTGGTTAGCAGTCAAATGCCTTAGGCACTGCACACTGGGACTCCTTAGGAATACATATAGCTCTTGATATTGAAGAACTCTTTAAAATAACTTTATTTATTCTTCAAGGCAGCCTTTCAGTTTTGGTATCCTAATTTGCAGATTAAAAAAAAAAAAAAACAAACCAAAAAACTTAGCTCCAGATAATGACAAGAAATTGCTCCAGGTCTCCCAGTGAGAAAGGAGTCATTGCAATCTCATTGGAACCATGTAACTTGTGTTCTTACCTTTTTTTTTTTTTTTTTTTTTTTTTACTTTATCTGAAACAATATTCCAATCTCAATTGATGGGCTAGGTGGACGTCCTCTCCATACACCCACCCCACCTAGTTCTTTGTACTTTTCATCTAATTTCTAATCTCCCTTTTTGGCATAGTGCCTAAGGCATTTGACTGCTAACCAGAAGGCTGATGGTTCAAACCCACCAGCCACTTCTCGGAAGGAGGATTGGGCAATCTACTTCCATAGTGATACTGCCTCAGAAACCCAAGGAGGGGATGCTGTGAGGTGGATCCGACTCGATGGCAGTGAGTTTGGTTTTTTTTTGGTTTAGATTAGGATAGCATGGCCACGAATATGAGATAGTTTATGGGCTGATTTCAACTCCTTTGGTCAGTTCAGTCAATGGCTTTCCAGGCACAGCATCCATCTGCTTGGGTACCTATTGGTGTGATAGCTTCCCAAAGTGTCAGATGCTTTATGAGTCTCTCTTTCCAAGATCCTTGTGCCCCAGGTGACACTGATCAAAATTACAGACTGAGTTTTTCTATTCCATCAAATGGTCTCTAGTAATAGAAACCTTATTTTTGATTTTTTGGCTCTCCCATTTGGGAAGTTATTCTAGGACTTGATAATTTATGGTATTGTATTCTTTTCTTAGGAGAGCTTTAAGTACACTAAATTCAAGTTGAAATATAAATTAGTGGAATCTCTTAGGTTTTAAGGTGAGTCTAATGGTTAAGGAAGCTCTGGTGGCACAGTGCCTAAGGCATTTGACTGCTAACCAGAAGGTCGGTGGCTCAAACCTACCAGCTTCTCTGTGGAAGGAAGATGAAGCAATGTACTTCTGTAAAGATTTACCACCTTGGAAACCCAATGGGGTTAGCTTTGGGTCAGAATCAACTTGATGGCACTGAGTTTGGTTTGGTTTGGTTATAGTGATTAAGAGCATAGGATCTAGAGTTAGACAGCCTTGGTTAGACTCTTAGCACTGTCCCTTCCTAACTTTGTGAGTTTGCTCAACTCTCTCAATCTCTCCAATACTCAGTTTTTTAATCTACAAAATAGGAAAATATAATAGAGTTATTGCAGGCATTAAAAGAGATAATGCATGGAAAACCAGTAAGTACTCAGTACATGCTGGTTATCATCATCATCATCTTAATCCCCTGCATGCCCCTGTACATGGAAACCTAAGACATAGTAGTGGGAAGAACAGAGGCTCTGCTTTTCTGATAATTAAATATTCAATCTGTGGTTAGACCGTTCATCTTCATCTGGTGAGTAAGTGACCCAGAATTTCCATCTCTGTTGTATTGTTGGAGGAGAAATGGAAGCCCTTTATTTGAAGTGACTTGTTCCCCATAAAGCTGTGATAGAAGCAGGGTCAGAACTTATTCAGTTGTTACTACTGCTTTAAGGCTGTCATGGCTCTTAAGAGGCAGAGACGTTAGAAAGAGCTAAAGGCTGGGAGTTGAGAGATCTGGGCCCTCATCTTTCATGGCTACTAATTTTCTATGTGACCTTGGGTAAGTTATGTCCACTCTGAGCCCCGGTTTACTCACCTACAAAAGAGGAGTAATTTTTTTGTAAGATAATTCATAGAAATATGCTTTATAAGCAAAAACATGTCATGTGAAGGTGCTTACTTGATGCTATTTATTTCTGAGGCATACTCTTTATCTGATCTTGCTGTACTCATTGACTACTCAAGACCTAGCTAAGCAGGAGTCTGTATCATGGAGTCTGGTATGAGAAAGTTGGCAGGGATATTGCCAGTTTTTGAGAGCAGAGGTTGATGATGATTGATTCACTGCTGGATCCCCAGGACCCATCAGAGGGCCTAGCACCCAGAAAGCACCTGATGAGTGATGAGTAAAGATCACTTGGTGACTTTGTGACTCAAGTAGGCAGGGTCCCTGTCTGACTTTATTTTGTAGTACAATTACTTAATACAAATGTGTCTGTGGATATGGAGGGACCCCTGGAGATGCATTTCACCAGCATGTGGTGCCACTGATCAGGCACAGGAATGGGAACTTTCTTAGGTGTGCAGCATAACAGGTTTCATGGTGCTTCCAATGGAAATTTATCAATATGAAGTCTTATTATTGACAATTTAAAAACACTGGTTTAAGAGAAACTGAACTTTGGAAATATGATATCACCATCACTTCAATGCCTTTTCCTTTTTATTGGGGGGGAGGGGATACAAGTTTGGAATTATTGGATACATATGGTGGTGGGATGGGGCTAGAGGAAAAGCCAAGAGTCTATTAAATAGTTTAATTGGAATATATTTTTGAACTATATACTGAACTTCATCCAGATTCTCATTATTAAAAAATATGTGGCTTGGTTTCTTGACATTAACAAAGAACAATAAAAGCAGTGTTACCGTTTCTCCTCTTCCTTTAAGAACTAAGAGTTCCAGCAACTCTGGACAGCATTGTTCATAAAATGAAGAAAAATGACATAGCTATTTGCTAAAATGTTTTGTGTCTTAGAAGAAGTAGAGAATGGTGAACTTCTAGTGGAAACTTTGGTGTCAGACTGATTATGCAGCAATTCCTTTTTAGTGAGGGGAGCATTGGCAATGTTGACATGGAACTCAAGATCCAAATAATGACTGATTCACCCAGGTGTCCACATTGCTTCATTACCTCGAATACTTGAATTTCTGGTGTGTTAAACATGCAGCCCTAGGGCAATATGATGCTGTTGCTGATGGAGGCTGGATCACCTTTTCTGTGTGGATGAGGTTATGGGAGCTTTTTTCATTCTGCTCTTGGTATCATTTTTGTTTGTTTCTCTTTAAGACCCATCTGGTGATAACATTTCAAGGAAAGTACTTAGGTGAATTAGCCACAGTTTTACAATAACCCAAATCTTTCTATTTTTTTTAAACATTTTATAGAGTGTTGTATGTAGCACAGGATTCATTATTCTCTGCCTTTTACATGAAAAGAAAGTAAAGCATAGAGCAGTCTAGTAAGATATCTTTAGGAAAGTGGTGGCAGAACTGAGTTGAGAATGCCAAAGCAGATATCCTACTTGACAGAGCAGTTTCCTTTCCACCAGATCATATTTTTATTTGCTTTTACTTAATATAGTTTTTATCTTCCATGAAGAATTTAGTTTACACATTCTAATGATGGTTTATTGTTCAACAACTTGAGGAGTAATTCTAAATAGGTCTGTATTTAATTTTTGATGAAGTTAGGCAGATGGTCTTATCTTCAAATGTCTTCATTTAGAATCATCAAGGGAGTTTATACTTTTGGAAAATCTGGAAAGTCAGGAAATAGAAATTACATTTCAAGAATGGCTTCTGCTTGATGCTGCTAGTCACAGGGCGGGAATGAACTAGCCAAATAGGTTCTGCTTGGGGAAGCTGACTGAGGCAAAACAGACACACACACAATGTCTGAAAAAACATACAAAATCCAAAACCAAACCCACTACCAGTGAGTTGATTCTGACTCATAGTGACCCCCATTGGGTTTCCAATGCTGTAAATCTTCATGGAAGCAGACTGCCTCATCTTTCTTCCATGGACTGGCTGGTGGATTCAAACTACTGACCTTTTGGTTAGCAGCCAAATGCCTTAACCACTATATAAGAGCCCAGGAAAAAGAAAATAAGAAAAAGAAATAAGACCCCAAGTTATTTATAGCTGTGTTCAATCCTGTTGTTCTGGTAGATATCCTGGACCAAAGTTTGTGCCTCAATTTTTGTGCATGTGCACACACACAATGAACTTGAGTCCTGGTGGCACAGTTAAGCATTCAGCTGCTGATGGAAAGATGGGTGGTTTGAACTCACCCAGGTGCTCTGCATGAGACAGAGCTAGTAAATCTACTTTTGTAAAGATTACATCCAAGAAAACCCTACCAGACAGTTTTACTCTGTTACATGGGGTCTCTGTGTATTGAAATCAACTTGTTGGCACACAACAACAACAATAATGGAGCTATTTGTGTGGCCAAAAGCAAGAGCTTTAGTGAGCAGTGATTCCAAGTAATCTAACAAGTGCTGTACTGAAAGAAAATGTTCTGGACTAGCGAAGTGACAACAAAACTGGCGATGTGTCTTCATCTGTGCAAATAGAAGACTTGTCATTTACAACCTTCTCTTCTTCTCAATTGCTAACAGACATTACTGACAGATTTCAACACCACTGAATGTTTTAATATTTGTCAGACAGTTAAAGAGTTAGGATTATGAGGGCTTCTGTTGGCTTTTTCATGGGAATAATTTGTATTAGTGATTGTATTAGTGAGAAGGAACAGATTCTGAGCAAGTTAATG